GTTCGATCCCTGGTACCAAAAAAAAAAAAAGAAAACGGCATGGATAAAGGGCCAACATGGTCCTGGTACTTAAGAGTTCCTTGACACGTGGCCACTCCATCCTATTTCTCTCTTTTATACTATTTATTATTTATTTAATTTTTTTGGTACCCGAGATCAGACTCGGGTCTTTGCGCTTGGGCACACTTTTTATTTATTTTTGAGACAAGGTCTACTATGTAGCCCAGGCTGGCCTCCAACTCCCAGTGATCCTCCTGCCTCAGCCTCGCGAGTGCTGGGATTATAGTCGTTCGCCCCCATGCTTGGCCTCTTTCTTTGTGTAGTATCAAGTCCTGAAAGTTTTGAGCCCTGGAAAGGTTCTCGCTCCCTTCCCACAGAAGCCTCTTCCGGCGGGCTGCCCACCTCTGCCTGTCAGAAGAAGCAGGCGCTTCAGGGAACCCGTGCTGTGTGCCCTTTGCCGGGGCACTTGGGGGGCAGAGGGGGCCAGCTTTGGGGGCAGGTGCCCACCATCAGCTCCCACACCCCGCTGCCAGCAGGACCCACTTGTCCCCAGCCTCCCAGCTCTGCAGGGACTTGAGGACTTGGGGCTCACCTCAAACTCGAGGTCCTGCAGCTCCTTCTTCTTGCCAAGAAGATTGCAGAGGGAGCTGAGCAGGGAGCCCTGCCCCACCTGGCTCAGCCTGCCCACCTCTCGGGTCTCTCTCTGGACCTCTTCTTTCAGGGTCTTGAAGTCCTCATGCACCTCCCCTATGGGGACACGAGAGGTGACAACCAGCCCTTCACCCTCAGGAGCCTCCACTCGCCTCCTCAGGGCCCTGTCCCTGACCTCCAACTCACTACGATCCTTCTGCCTCAGCCTCCCAAGCTCTGGGGTCACCGGCATCGCCACCACACCCGGCTTCGGCATCAGAGACTCCAGCTAAACATTGGGAGGGGAGCCCTCTGTCTCCTTCTCATGCATCAGTGGACAAAGATGACTTTGGGGGCTGTGTGAAGGCCAGCACCCGGGGCCCCGTGACCTGTAGCAGGCCCTCAGTGGAAGTGGTGCCCTAGGGATGTGACCCTCTGCCTGGGCCAGGGTGGCAGCAGTGCCCCGGACCTGGGACCCAGCCCTTTCTGTCCTTTCCCTCCCTCCGCCCTCCTCCACCTTCTGCCACTTTTGTGCCAGAGTCTTAGGAGAAAGTCACAAAGTTGCTTACCAACATCAGAAGCCTGGATAACTGAGAAAATAAGAAAGAAAAACCATAAGAAGCTGTCCCTCAGGGTGGCGGGCGGCCCCGGGGGCTGGGACGGGACGGGCCCAGCCTCCTCACAGTTCGCTCTACTTCCAGGAGGCGTGAATGAAAGGAGATAAGAGCTAATTGGGAAGGGGGCACCCGGACTGAGGTGGCATCACCATGACTCACTGGCTCCACCCCTGTTGCTGAGAGGCAGAGCAGCAGATGAGTGGGCATGGGTGACAGCCACCACAGGCCCTGGGGCCAAAGGTCCGGGGCATCAGGCCATCCAGACCTCTTGTCCCAGGATCTCCCCCTTCGGCTGCCTTTTCCTAAGCCACGGAAGTCCTGCCACGTGTTGGGGGCCGCTGTCTGCCTGGACCTGCTTTGCCACCTTCCCTGCTGTCCCACACAGGAGGAGGAAGAGAGCTGGGGTCTTAAACCGGAGCCGAGAAATTTGCATGGGAAGGAGGGAAAGGAACACTTACGTGTGAACTTCTCCTCTTCCGGCTTTTCTGCAGACAGAAAGAACGCACATACATCAGCATGGAGCTGATTTCTGCTGCCTTTCTTTGGGTTTGGTTTTGTGTTTTGAGACAGGGTCTCTCTATGGAGCCCAGGTTGGTGTGGACCTCACTGTGCTCCTCGCCTCAGGCTCCTAAGTGCTGAGTGGCATGGGCGCCCCACCACGCCCGGCTGTTTCTGCCTTTTTGACTAAGGCAGGTGTCACAGCAGCTTCACTGCGATCACTGTAAAAATGCACGGCGCTGCTGTTCGCACTGCCACCCCCACACCTTGGGGACATACATTGCTTCCACCACCGGAGATGGAACTCGGGACCTTGTGCCTGCAAGCCAGGTGGCGGAACCACTGAGCTAAATCCCCGGCCCCACCATGGCTTCTTTCTGCTTGCGGTTGTCCCTGCCTTTCTCTTTCTCTGTCCCTCTTGGGCAGCGTTTCTATACCTCTGTCTAACTTTCCTAAAGTTGAAGGCAGATGTTCTTAGGGACTTGGGAAACAAAAACAGGGGTCCTTGGGGGGCTTGTAGCCCCTTCGGTCAGCGGGCGGGGTTTTAGCAGCTGGCACCGGTGGGGTGGCGAGGACATTCATTTACCTCCGGCGGGGAAGGTCTGCATGCTGTCGTTGTACAGGTGTGGGATGTCTGCAACACAGGGAGACCAGACCCAGGTTGTCAGCTGCCCTGCCTCTTTCCCCAGCCTCCAGGCCCAGGGCGGAATCCTGCCCCTCAGATGCCCGGTCTGAGTCCCGTTCTCCGTGGCACCCCAGGACTGGTGCTAGCACCCGCCCTCCCAGCTCCCCAGGGCCCCCCACCAAGAGGCCCCCAGCAGCCGGAGCCACCTCCCCTGCAGCTCTCTCCCTGCATCACGAGGCTCACTCAGTACACTCTTGTGCCTGTTCCCCTACATCACCACGAAGGCGCCTCATGGCCAGGGATCTAGCTCAGTGGCACTGCACCTGCCTCGCAAGCGCAAGGTCCTGAGTTCGATCCCTGATACGGAAGGAAAAAAAAATGAGGGTGCCTCAGCCCAGGAGCGGGTCACCCCCATGTTGGGGGTGCCTGTTTGTCTCACCCCACTCATCTTGGCCACTGATCATCAGCTGCCTCACGCGGAATGCCAGGACGCAGCCCTTGGGGATGGTGACAGCCTCCTTGTGGTTGACGGATCCCTAGGAGAGACGACAAGGAATTGTGAGTCTGTGAGACTCGAGGCCGGGGGGCCAGGCCTGAGAGCCTTTGGGGAGACAGGAAGTTGGGAGCTCTTGACCATCTTTCTGCCCATCCAGACTCTGTGGCCTGGGCTTTGAGCCCTGACGGCGTCCTCTAAGGAGCTGGGTCTTCTTCCTCCTTTGGGCCCGTGGGGGGAACTGGGTGAACCTGCTCCTCCTCACCTGCCTGTGTGTCACTGCCAAGCCCCTGCGTGGGCCCTGGTTCTTTCTTTCTCTTTGCCATCTGTCCCAGCTCACCTCCTCCAGGAAGCCCTCAGTGACTAAAGCCTCCCTGGCTTCGAGACAGAGGCGTGAAGCCCTTATCGGGAGTTTCCCAGCCTGGGGTGTCTGGGCTTCAGCCTCCTCGCTGAGCCTGAGCTCTGTGCACAAAGAGCTCTGCTTAGCTTGGGGTTCAAGAGGAAACACTTGCGCGTGCGTGTTCAAACCCGACCTGCAGCCCCAGCGGGGCGAAGAACGGGAGGGAGAAGCAGCCCTCGGCCTTGCCGGCTCTCTCCAGGGTGACCTCCTGCACGGTCTCCACCACCTCCATCACCACGTAGAGGTTCTCGCCGCGCTCTCGCATCTCCTTCAGGAACGGGTGGTCCGCGGCCAGCTTCCTGACAGGAGCCGCGCAACTAAGGGGCTGCTCGGGCCCCGCCCACGCCCTCTGATCCCCGCCCCTCACTCCCGGAGCCGGAGCCGGACTTCCCGGGCGGGCAGCTTCGGCTGTGCCGCATCTATAAAGCCAGATAATGATGCCTCCCTCCAGGGCGTCCAGATAAACAGGGCAATCACTGGCTCGGGCGGGCGGGCGCCTGCTTGCTTCCTTCTCTGCTTCTGCTTCAGCCCCTTGGCCCGCAGCTTCTTCCCCCTTGTCTCTGTGCCTTCTCTTCTGAGACTCTTTCTCTCCACCTCTCACCCCTCTCCTGCCATTAAGCCCAGTTCCTCTCCACCGGCTCCTTCTTTGCTCTCATACATAAACAGGTCCCTGACCCTAACCAGTTCACTTTCTGACCCTCAGTTTACCGCTCCATTTCTTTCCTTCCCCTTATTGGCAAATATCCCCAAAGATAGGCCCACACCCCTCTCCGTCTTCTCCCCTCTGCAGCCTGTGACTCAGCTCCTATTCCACTGCTCGGCCCGATCCCAGAGACCTCCCAGCATCAGGCTCAGGGACCTCCCCAACGGTTGCTTCTGATCTCCTTGGCCCACTCTGGTTCTGTGCCTGGATTTCTGCCTCCTACCTCTCATCCATTCTTTTTTTTTTTGTTTTTAAATTTTAAAAAACCATGTCTCGGGCCAGGGATTTAGCTCAGTGGTTTCGCTGCCTGCTGCGCAAGCACAAGGACCCAAGTTTGATCCCCGGTACCAAAAACAAAACAACAACAACAAAAAACCACGTCTCTTTTTTTCTCTCGGTACCAGGGATCGAACTTGGACCTTGTGCTTGCCAGGCAGGTGGCAGAACCACTGAGCTAAGTCCCCAGCCCCTCCCTCTTATCCGTTCTGTCTGCACCCCCTTCCCTGGTTTGCCTGGTCCCCTGCATTGTCCCCTGAGGCTCTGTTCTCACCCCTCTGCTCCTGAGTCCCCTTCGAGGCCCCCAGCCCCTGCTGTTTCACTCCCTTCCGAATTTCCACCTCGACGTCTCCCAGGCTCTGCCCCAACTTCCAGCCACCTTTGGACACTCCCAGCTGACACCAGAGCAGGACCGCCAGCTCCCAGCATCCGAAAGGGCCTCACCGTCCTTCCCCATGGATCATCACTGCGTCCTGTTCGCCACCCGCCAGGCGCTGCCTTTCATTCCTCATCTGTATCCCAACCTGGGTCAAAACTTAGAGCCACTCTGGACTAGGCCTTGGGCCTCGCCCTGCTGGCAGCACCAAGTTGAGACTGTTCTGCTGCCCTTGGCCACTGGCCCTGCATCTGCCCCTGCTTTGCTTCCAAATGTTCCGCCTGATTTTCCATCTCTGATGGATGAGTGACCGTGTCCTGCGGTCTTCCTGGTTCAAACCCTGTCGCCTCCCCCACGCGCACTTCCTCCAGGGGTCCCGATGGGTCACACGCCCATCTGTGCCTGCAGCTTGGCCTCCTCAGCCTGCCACCCGGTCCAGGCTCCCCAGTGCTGGGATGGCAAGCGTGTGCCACCTCACCGGGCCTTCCCATCATTCTGCAGCGTAGAAAGCGGAGGTTCCCAGAGATGGGACTCTTCCCAGGCGAAGTGAACTTCAGGGTATTCCGTGTGTGTGGATGTGTGCCTGTGCCTGTGTGTGCGTGTGCAGTAGTGGGAGGAGGTGCCGGAGGGAGTGGATGGACAGGGACAGGGAGGCCTGGTTAGCAAATGGCCTGGATGTCCCCACGGCCCAAGGAAGGGGCATCTTCCCGTCAGGTTGGTGAGGCCCCAGCGCCCCATCCACCCCTTCACCCATGCTCACCTCTCCTTGTGCAGCGACTCCAGGGCCGTGGGGGCCACACTGAGGGTCTGGACCTCCAGCGTGCTGTTCCTCGACAGCCCTGCAGTGCCCTTGACTTTCACCGTCCGGGGCACGTCCACCTCCCCCTCCAGGTGTGCATCCAGCATGTTCTTGAAGCCGAAGCTCCCCGCATCCGTGGGGTCTGCAGAGGGAGAGGAGGGGCTGGGCTCCTGAGTCCCTGGTCCTCACCGCCCGGCTCCCCCAACCCGGCCACCGGCTGACCTGTGGGGGAGGTGCCGGGCTCCAGCAGCCCCAGGAGGCTGTAGTCGGTGCGCAGGTAGCGGGCTCCCCAGAAGAGCGTGCTCTTGCGCTTCCTCAGCACCACGCAGAACGGGCGGAAGCTCTTGAAGTCGATGAGGCTGTCCAGGGGCGTCAGGTCGCCGTGGGGGTTCAGCTGTCTGGCCAGGGCCCGGGTGACATTTTCGAACATGGTCATTGTCACTGTGGGGAGGGAGAGGGAGGCTGTCAGGGTGGCTGCTGGGAATCTTCATTTTATTTTTATTTTTTAATTGTATTTTTTTTCGGAACTGAGGATCGAACTCAGGACCTTGCACTTGCCAGGCAGGCACGGTGCCACTTAGCTACATCTCTGGCCCGGGAATCCTCATTTTATCATGAGGAAACTCTGGCTCCAAAACCCATATGAGCTGGCTTGGTTGCACAGGCCCGTAATCCCAGCACTTGGGAGGCTGAGGCAGGAGCATCACTGGGAGTTCGAGGCCAGCCTGGGCTCCATAGTGAGCTCAAAGCCAGCCTGAACTCCGTGGGGAGACCCTGTCTCAAAAAACCAGAAAAACAACCAAAACCTAAACCAACGCAATTCAGGCCACTCTGATGACCTCTTTTCTCCGTCCAGGCCTCCTGACGCCACCTGTGCCTCCACAGCTGGCAGCGCACCCCGTCTGAAACACCTGCCGCCTCCCCATGTTGTTACACCTGCCTCTCGCCCACTCGATTGTGACTCCCCCGAGGGCAGGAGTCACTTCCGCAGCCCCAGCACTAGCTGCCCCGCACAGTTGGAGCTCAGCAAATATGCGTGGAAAGGACTGACTGGATGAAGCCAGCCCTGGGCCAGCGGGGTCACAGGGCACTGTGTTCCCCGGGAGCTGAGGGTCCCAGCCCCGAGATCTGTCTTGGAAGTTCATGTCCAGGTGCTCCGGCTGGTGGTCGGGCGTACCTGGACTACCCAGTGGGCGAAAGATGGGACCCCAGCTGCCCTGGAAGTGCCCCCCGGAGGCAGGTGTGCCCCCTACCAGCTCCCAATTTCCACCCCCATTCCTGGGAGGCCAGGGGAAGGGGCAGGATGGCCCCTGGCTCCCCTGGGCCACCAGGGTACCTGGCTGCTAGATTCTGGGGAGCCCACATCCTTCTGCCCCACCTGTCTCCCTAGGCTCCCCGAATGCCACCTGCCTCGTCCGCTGTCGGAGTTCTTACCAGGGGTGACGCTGGGTCCTGTTGGCGGCTGGGGTGGAGAGAGGGCCCTGACCCCTCTTCTGCAGGTCCACAGAATGAGTGTCCTCTGCCAGGCCAGGCGGCTTTATCCTGGGTAGAGACAGGGGTGTTGGCTTCGGGCCCCACCCCTACTTCCGAGAGAGAGAACAGCATCAACCTGTTCCAGGTGCTGCCCTGCCAGTGGCCTGTTTCTGCCCTCGGGGTGGGTGGGGAGCTGCTACACAGGTGGCAGCTTAGGTGGGGCAGCCGGGGCTACCAGAGACGGCAGATAAAGAGTGGACAGAGAGTGCAGAGAGGGTACAGAGAGGTCCTCGAGCTGGGGTGCATGTGCTCACACACACAAGCGTGTATGAGTGTATGTGTGACGAAGGCCCTCGTCCCTGTTCTGCTGTCCTCATGATCTACCGCGAAGCATCTGGGAGTCACAGCAAACCTGTGGGCAGGATAAGGGGACAAGACATCCTTTCCTTGTGTTGTTGGTTTTTGAGTCGGGGTCTGGCTATGTAATCCAGGTTGGCCTCGAACTCCTGGTGATCCTCCTGCCTCAGCTTCCCGAGTGCTGGGATTATGGGCATGTGCCACCTCGGCCCAGCCTTTTTTGCTGTTCAGTGGCCCCCTCCTCTGCCTTTCCTGGGACCCTGGATAGGCCACGCCTAGACACAGAGGCAGAGGCACAGCGAGGCAGGTTTGGGAACACCCAAGATGCAAGTCATGGTCTCAGCAGGTCCTACAGGTCCCACTCTTTATCTCCAGTCTCTGCCTGGAGGGAATCTAAAAGGGGAGCTTGCCAGGCGCAGTGGCACACACCTGTCATCCCAGCCCTCGGGAGGCTGAGGCAGGAGAACTGCTGTGAGCTCGATCCAGCCTGGGATACATAGTGAGCTGACCTTGTCTCAAAAAACCAAAATAAGTAAATGAGAAGCTGGAGATGAACAGGGAGATGGGATCACGCCCCACACAGTGAAACTCTGCAATCTTTCTTCTGTCCTCGGCCTCACCCACAGGACTGAGGCCTCTGTGTAGCTCTTCCTTATGTTTTAAGACAAAAGAAACACTTGCCCCGCCTTTCTGGTTCCTGTCCTTTATCTTTTTGGTTGCATTCTTTCCTAGCTACTCCATACCCTCCGTTTGGGGTGGTGGGGATTGAACCCATGGCCGCAGGCATGCTAAGCAAGTTCTCTACCATGAGGCCATATCACCAGCCCTTAAAAAATTTTTTTCTTTATTTTTCTCAGGCTGCCTCAAATTTGTGATTCTCCTGCTTCAGCCTCCCAAGTGCTGGGATCACAGGCATGGGCCACGACGGCCGGCCCTAATCCGGGAGTCTTGGTCCTTCTGCTCTCTTGCCTTCCTTCATCCACTCTGACCCTTCCACCAGTGCCCATCCCTGGGCCCACCCCACCGGGCCTCCATCCTGGGTACCATTTCCCCAAACTGCCCGATAGTGCTGTAGGCACGGGGCTCAGAGCGTTCAGGGTTGCAGAGCGCTAGTTTATGTTCAGGGGAATTTGGGACCGGATTTAAATGGGATTGAAGAGATTTAAGCAGCTGGTCGGATACACGCCCTGGCAGGCTTTGCTCTCCGTCGCCCTCTGGCGGCCAGTTAAGGTAAGCGATAGGAGGCTCTCATCCTTGATTGGGTTCCAAGCCTGTAATTTGTACGGGGTTGCGGGAGATGAGGCCCAGAAGGGGAACTGAATTAGGGGAAGAAGCCCCAGACACCTGCTCTTTGGGGATGTTAGTGTCTCTCCGACACACATACTGCTCTGCAGACAGACACAGAGATTGGGATGCAACATTATTTTCTTTCTTTCTTCTCTTCTCTCCGTCTCCCTCTTGTCTTCTTGAGAGTCTCACTATGTAGTTCACGCTGGCCCTGAACTCACTAAGTATCCCGGGCTGGCTTCAAATTTGCAGTGATCCTCCTGCCTCAGCCTCCTCAGTGCTGGGATCGCAGGTGCACACCACCGTGCCTACCCTTTTATTACTGATTTTTTCCCTTAAGAAGGGGCCGGAGAGGGGAGAAGGGTTGGCTGACAGTGTTGAAGGTGCAAGCACCGAAAGCTTGGTGCTCTTGGGGCTGGTGACAAGGAAAAAGTTCTGAAATGAACTTGTAGGGTGTGGGGTCCACTTGTAGGGTGTGGGCTGCTGGAGGGCTTGGGGACGGTGACCCCTCACACTGACATATTCTCAGACCTTCTCTGAGTGAAAGGAGGTGGGAAGGTTGGGGATGGAGGCAGGTGAGAGTCCGAGGGACTTGGGGAAGCCAGGCATGCTCAGGGTGTTGGTTTTTTGAGACAGAGTCTTGCTATGTAGTCCAGGCTGGCCTTGAACTCACAGTGATCTGCCTGCTTCAGCCTCCCAAATGCTGGGATTATGGGCATGTGTCACCATGCCCAATTCCTTCTCTTTCTTTCTTTCTTTCTTTCTTTCTTGCTTGCTTGCTTGCTTGCTTGCTTTCTGTTTTGAGGATTGAAGCCAGAACCTTTGCATTGAGCTGCATCCCCAGCCCTTTTGCAATCCTCCTGTCTCAGCCTCCCAGAGTGCTGGAATTACAGCCATGTGTCACACTATGCCTGGCTCACACTTTTTACTTCCTTTCTTCTCTTCCTTCTTTCCTTCCTTCCTGGTGCTGGGGATCAAACTCAGGGCCTCACACATACCCTACCATTGAGCAACACCCTAGCCCTCCATACTCTTTTTTAATTTTTATTTTTTCTGGTACCAGGGATCAAACTCAGGACCTTGGGCTTGCCAGGCAGGAGTGGTGCCACTGAGCTAAATCCCCAGCTCCATACTCTTTATTTATCCCCTAAAAGTGTTTATGTTTCCTTCCAAATTCCTTCACTGGGTTTGGAGCCCAAGCTATTCTTGAGCTCCTGGCTGAGCAGACACTGATGTTCAGGTCAAGTGCACCAAGCTCCCCATGAGACTTCAGTGTCGCCCCTCAGGCCAGTCCCCTACCCACCAGGCTGGGTCAGGCACAAGGGCCAGTGGCAGCCTGAAGGTCAGGATGCCCTCTATCAGGCAGTCTCCCACACCCGGGCCTGAGGTCGCAGGGGCCGTGGAGCTGTCCTCACCATGACCAACAGGACTCGGCTCCCAGATCCTTGCTACAGAGCCTGGGTCCCAGCTGCAGCCCTTGAGGCTGAGCAAAGCTTGGAGCCGAAGAATCTTCCTATTTTCACCTGCTATCCAGACTTGTCCCGAGCCCTGCCCTGCTTTCCCAGGCTGCGGCTGGGCCAGGCCTGGGGACCCTTGGTGGACAAAATGTCGGGAGAGCCAGTGATGGTTGCCCAAGATCCCAAATGTCGAGAAATCAGCGAGCACAGAGCCATGAGAAGGCTTTCGGCTCCTGGGGGAGGGGGCTGTCCCCCAGTATATAAAGGCCACAGAGTCCCATCAGAGCGTGGGTCACCAACTCTTAGGTCCAAACACCACTGAGCAGCTCAGAGTGAAGACAGCAGGGCCCTGCCCGCCCTGGGGGCAAATTCTGGCCCATTGGCTTCCATCTGCACAGCAGGGGGAAATGATCCCAGGATGCTGTGCATCTAGGGAACCACCAACCTGCGCAGTAAAAATTTAAATTTTAGCTGGGCATCATAAGGCACATCTGTAATCCCAGCTCCCAGAGAGGTCGAGGCAGGAGGATGGATCATCAGTTTGGCAACTTAGTGAGGCCTGTCTAAGAATATAATAAGAAGGGAGCCAGGAGGGTAGCTCAGTGGCAGATCGCTTATCTGGCATTCGTGAGGCCCTGGGTTCAGTCTTCAGTACAAAATCACCTTGCATCCCTCTATGACTCCCCCCCCGCCAACGCCTGTTAATGCCGGAGAGGAGTCTGGAGGTTATCAGTTCCCGGGTCTGTGCTTCGGGCCCGCAGAAAGCCCCTTAGGATCTTGGGGCCTCGGGTGCTCAGCCATGAATGAGTGTGGGAGAGGCCTGGACGAGCTCAGAAGCAATTTTGCCCTAGTTGCCAGCACCGAGGGTGTTCTGTGACCCCAGGCGCCATGCCAGCCCTGTCCCTCGGGAGCGTCTCCTCTCCTCCCCGCACTTGATCCACAGCTGTTGTTTCTGGCCCAGCACTCCTGGGGTGCAGAAGAGAGGCCTGAGGGCCAGGGGCTGCTGTCTCCCTCCAGGGGCCGGGGCTTTAAGGTAGCACCTCTCCCCTCTGCTGGCATCTCCAATGATAATGCTTAACAGTTTCTTTCTTTCTTTTTTTTTTTTTTTGGTACGGGGGATCGAACTCGGGACCTTGTGCTTGGCGACGCAGGTGGCGGAACCACTGAGCTAAATCCCCGGCCAAAATGCTTAACAGTTTCTGACAAAGAGCTCCGCTTTCCATTTTGCAGGAGGACCCAGGCGAATCAGGGCCTCACCCATCCGACGCGGGAGGAGGGTGCCCCAGCCAGCCAGGTGGACTTGGCTGGAAGTCTCCGCGCCCCGGACTCAGGATCAGCGGCTCCGTAAGATCCGGGGCGCTATGAGCTACAGAGATAGTGTGCAGTTAGAGGCGGAGGGCCCTGAGCGCCCTCAGGGCGGAGGCCGGGTCTCCTCTCCAGGTGAAAGCCTGGGGCACCTGCGAGACCGAGGGCTGAATCGGCTCAGGACGGCGAGGCCGGTCCCGCCCCAGCTGCCCTAGCCCCGCCCGGACGAGCCCGCCCACCGCCACTAGATCCGCCCCATAGTGTGAGTCAACACAGTCCGCTCCCCAATACCCTCCCCGCCCTCTCCATTTCAAGCTCCGCCTCCCGCCTCCTTAGTCCTGAGATCATGAAGACTCCGCCCCGAGTGCGTTTGCTCCACCCCATCCAATTTAAGCCCCGCCTTGCGTTCCCTTGGTCCCGCCAGTCACCTCCCAGCCCCGCCCCGTTGGGGGGGCTACAGCCCGAGGGCCCCCTGCCGCCCCGCCCCCTCAGCGCCTGGCCGCGTCTGGGCGCCCGGCAGCGAGCGCTTCCTCTCCTCCGCGGCGGCTTCGCACCTGGCTGCCACCTTGCGGCGCCGCTGCTCGTCTCCCGCCTCAGTCTGCAGGGCCCAGAACCTGCTCCCCGGGGCCGCCTCAGGCCCAGTCTGAGCTTGGGTGCAACACCGTGGTGACCAGGACCCTCCCCAGCCCGCCCGGTGATGACTTCGCCCAGGGGCCCAGGTCACCCCTCCAGGGCTCGGGCCTTGATGTCCTGTCCCCCGGGGCAGGGTCTGCGGGGGTGCGGGGCCCCCTTACGAGGGCCTTGGGGTCGGGCTGCGGGAGGGGACCCACCTGGCAGAGCTCTGCGAGCCCGGGGCAGCCCCAGGGACTCGGCCCCCCTCTCCTTCCGGGGGCATCTTCGGCTTCTTGTCACAGTGGAGGCAGCTACGCCAGGGGCCTGCCTGCTCCCTGGGTAAGCACCGGGCAGGCGCGAGGAGTCCCAGAGGCTCGGGACCCGCCCGTCTCCCGGGATGAGCATCTTCCCCGCGAGTTTTGACTTGGGGACCCACAGGGTGGGCGGAGGGAAGGTGAGTCCTGTGGCAGCTGTCCTGCAGTCCTCACCCCCATGTCTGTCCCCCTCACCGTCGCTGGCTGCCGTTTCTGCTTCCCGGGGCTGGAGAGGGCAGGGATGCGGGGAGCTGGTGGAGCAGCAGGACCCCCCGAGCGGGCCTACGGGCAAAGCCGTCCTCCCTGGGTCCCTTCCTGCCCGAGAATCCCGCTGAGAATCAGGTTGGTGTCAGCGTTGGATGAGCTCGCTCTTTGCTCTTTGCTCTTCCCTCCTCGCTGCTCGCTGCTCGCTGCTCGCTGCTCGGGCCGGAAGGAATGGATTCCTCTCTGCCATCCTGAGGCAACAGCCACGCTGCCCTAGGGTGCAGCCCTGGTTCAGGGGTTCCTATCTTGGATTCCAATTTGAGCTTCCAAAGCAGTACCAACCTCCCGGGGCCCTGCTGCCTCTCACCCCGCTCCCGCTGGGCCTCCTTCCGGGCTCCCTCTCCTGCTCCAGCCTTGCGGTTCCATCATCAATAATTCAGGGTCCTGGCTGCCCCAGCACGTAGGGTCTGGTGCAGGGGCGGGGAGAGAGGACGTTGGCGTGCCTAGCGAGGAGCCCCCACCTCCGGGGGCCAGAAGAGTGCCGCACCCCTGCCGCTTGTGCCCACTGCCAGGCCACAAAGTCGGACCGAAGGGGCAGAGAAAGATGGGAGCGTCACGGAAGGGACTTTATTGGGTTGCCCAGCGATGCTGTGGGGTCCCAGCTCCCGCCACCATCCTCACCTCCGTCTCAGAGGAGACCCTGGTCCTGGAAGGGTCGAGCTCGGGAACCCCTCAGCGTACACAGGAGACGGCAGAGGCACGGGGAGGGGGGAGAGGAAGTAGGGGACCCCGAGACAGGGTCCCAACAGAGGGCACAGGAGAGGGGTCCATGGGAAGCGAGAGGAGGGCCCGGGAGAGGCGGAGGCGCAGAGAGGGACCCACAGCGGCCTGCTCCATCCACCCGCACCCCAGCTTCCCCGCCTCTCCCCTCTCCAGCTTGATCAATCCCTCCCTCTGCCCGGGCTCCCCCAACCGCACAGAGGGGGGCCCCCAAACCCAGGGACCAAAGATGGGGTGCGTGTGGGAGTATGCGCATGTGTGTATGTGCATGTGCACGTGAGTGTGTGCATATGTGTGCACGCGAGTGGGTGCATTGAGTGTGCATGTAAGTGTGCACGTGAGTGTGTGCATGTGAGTGTGTGTGCATGGGGGGGGCGGCGATTGGTATTTAAGGCAGCCAGAAGAGGGCCAAGGAGAGAAGGGAGAGGAAAGCGGGTGCCCCCCCGACCCCCCCCCCATCCGGCCCCGGCCCTGGCCCGGCTGTCAGACCACCGTGCTGAGGGTGGACGAGTTCTCTGAGTGCACGGGCAGCGCGGGTCCCCGCTTGAGAGGACGCCGGCTCTCATCGCGGTTCTGCCACACGTAGCGGGCCACGTAGGCCACCACGAGCGTCAGCCAGCCGCCCATGGTGACCAGCAGGGCCACGTCGGCGCCCCGCTGTGCCCTGCCGGGCCTCAGGCCGCACAGGTCCTCCTCCCTGGCCCGCAGCAGGAACTCCTGCCCCACCAGGTCTGGTCGGGCTCCGGAGTCACACACGATGCCCGTGCCCGTGCCCGGCGCCAGCGTCACCTGCCCGAGCACTTCCTGGAGGGCGCAGTCGCAGCGCCACGGGTTAGCGGACAGGTTCACTTGGGTCTGCAGCCCCACGAAGGCCTCCACGGGCACCGAGGCCAGCTGGTTGGCGGAGAGGTCGAGGCGGCGCAGGGTGCCCGCCAGGCCGCGGAAGGCCGCCCCCGAGAGGTGGGCGAGGACGTTGTGGGAGAGATCCAGCTCCTGCAGGGTGGACAGGTGCTGGAAGGCGCCGGCGGGCACGGACTCCAGCCGGTTGGTGTCCAGGTAGAGCTTGCGGGTGTCGTTGGGGATGCCTGCGGGCACGGCGCTCAGGCCCGCCTGGCTGCAGCGGAACGTCCGCTCACCCGCCTCCTCGGCCACGTAGCAGCCTTGTGGAGGGGCCTGGGCCCGGGGCCCGGCGTCCCCTGTGCTCAGCAGCAGCAGGAGGCGCAGGAGGTGAGCAGTGGGGAGGTGCATGGCCGCAGACGGGCGCAGTCCGGAGCTGGCATGGTCTGCAGAGGAGGAGGTGGCGTGAGAGGAGCAGGGCCAGCCCGCCACCAGCCCGTGCCCCGGGCCCTCTGCGGGGTCTGTGGGCCAGGGCGTCCTCCTCTCTTCCCCCTGAGGGTCTCTCCATCAGGGGCTCTTTAAGGTAAAGGGTCCCTGGAAGGCCGAGCCCGGGGCTACTCGCCCAGCCGGGCCAGGGGCCCAGGGAAGGTGGATTTCTGGCCCCACCCCCGTGCCCACCAAATCCCCTTTCCGGGGCCCCCAGCTCACCGGCGAGACCCACCTCCTCCTCCGAAGCCCTGTTTGCTGGTAGCAGTGGCAGCTGGACCCGGGGCCCAAGGGTATTGGGTTTCCTCGCAGGTGACTCTGGGTCCCAGGTGTCGGATACCTGATCCATGGCCAGGCCGGGCGATGGCAGGAAAGAGCAGACCCGGGCCCGTGACCTCTGCCTGGGAGCCAGGCCCAGTGCCGCCCCTGGCCTGGGCTCCCCGCGCAGAGCCCTGTCCTCGCCATCGTCCACCATCTGAGTCCGCGTTCCAGGACTCACTGCCTTGCCCCGAGCCTGGCTGGGCTGAAGATCGCTGCGTGGCAGGCGTCGGGAGCGGTCCCCCGTGGGCGCCTTCTCCATCCACTGCCTCGCGCCGTCCCCTTCCCGGCCGGCCAGGGGCGCCGCTGCCCGGGAAACCCCTCTTCAGAGGACAGCCTCCGCTCCGCACTGTGCTGACGCACTTGTCCGCCAGGGGGCGCCGTAGCTCAATGTTCCTTGGTTCCTGTGAAGGGTTGCTGGCGACTTTATGCCCTGCCCTGGGACAGATCCAGCTTTTCTTGGTAGGGCGGAGGCTTGGGCACACAGGCTGGCACTCTGAACTCTTCCAAGAGGGTTCCACATGCCCCTCCGCTGCCCCCATGTTCAGTGGGTGTTGGATCAGAAGTCAGAAGACCTGTCTCACGTGTGCCTTGGCGAATTGCCTCCTCCCCCACAGCCCCATGGCTTCTGCCTGTTATTATTATTATTCGTGGTTCTGGGGCCGGAACCTCGTGCATCCGAGGCAAACACTCTACCACTGAGCTACACCCCTAGCCATTTAAAAATTTTTGTAACATTTTGAGACAAGGAGCTGGGTATGGTGGCACATGCTTATAATTCCAGCACTTAGGAGGCTGAAGCAGGAAGATTGATGCGAGTTTGAGATCAGCATGGGCTACATAGTGAGACTCTGTCTCAAGAAATCAAACATAACTGCTATCATGAAATCAACAAATAAATGTTGGTGGGGTTTGGGGAGAAAGAAATCCTTCATTGTTGTTGGGAGTGCAGACTGGTGCAACCACTGTGGAAATCAGTATGGAGATACCTCAGAGAACTAGGACTAGAGGTCCCATTTGACCCAGCTATTCCCCTGCTGGGTATCTTCCCCAAAGAATTAACAGAATCATACCACAGCGATATATGTGCACCCAGGTTTATAGCGGCACAGTGTGTAATAGATAAAGCTTGGAAACAGCCCAAGTGCCCATCAACTGGAGACTGGATAAAGAAGATGTGTTTTTTTTAATAAAGTGGAGTCCTACTCAGCCATAAAGAGAAACTGGAGACACTTGTAGCTAAGTGGATGCACATTGAGGCTGTACTCTAAAGTGAAATAAATAGAACACACATGTGTAAGTACCAAATAGTTTCTCTGGTGTGAAAAACTAGAAGTGTAAATAAGGATCAAAATGTATAGTTGATATTGTGAAATAGGAAAAAAAAGATCTAAAGGAGTAGAGGAAGTAGGAGGGGTGGGGGAAAAAAAGAAGAGAAAAAAAATATGAGAAAAGGAAAAAATGGAAACAAAGTCTTTGTAAATAGGGAAGGGTGGAGGGGGTGCAGGTAGGGTTGGGGACTGGGGAAAAAAATAAGAACCAAGATACATCATGTAGAGGTACAAGGTCCCAATGAGGAATGTAACTGTATTGTATGCCTAAAATGTACCAATAAACTAAAGGGAAAAAAAATAAAATAAAATGACCAACCAAAAAAAAAAAAATCAAACATAAAATAAAATTTTGAGACAGGGTCTTGCTAAGTCGCTCAGGCTGGCCTGGGCTTTTTGATTCTCCTGCCTTAGCCTGCTGAGTAGCTGGATTATGGGTGTGTACACTGGCACCCGGGTTTTAGTCTGCCTTTGCGAACAAATACTGCTTCAGGCTCGAGAGAATCCGCCATGCTGTGAGGCTCTATGCAAATGCTGGTTGCTTTGAGTGTCATCTTCAGGTGCTCACGGTGGCCTCCTTCGTGATGTCAGCTCAGGGCAGGTGCCCTGCCCTCCTCTTCCCTTCCTACTCAGGGTCCATGAAGTTCTGGAAGAGAAGCCCCCATGAGCCAAGGTGGTAGAGGGGCCATCCACACCCGCATTCATCTCCACAGCCGCCGTCAACCCTGCCAGAAGGAGGGGCTGCTGTTCATCAGACTATCTTAGATGGCAGGTAGGTAAACTGAGGCCTGGAACGTGACCAGAGTTTCACAGGGAGTCCGAGGCTGACCCAGTCCCGTTGCCGCTCTCTGGTCTCTACCCACATTCACCAGCATCCTGTGCCCGGCCTCCTGACCCCAGGCCCCCGGTATGGCATGGACCCTGACTCACACCTGCTAGGGTCCAGGGTGCGAGAGTCAGGGTGTCCCAAACCATGCTAGATCTCGGAAGCCCTTTGGGGGACCAGAACCAGGCCCATCAGCGCAAATCCAGTGCAGGCCATGGGGCCGCATGCGACTGCACAGGCTGCACATCCATGGAGTTCACCCTGCAGGTTACCTTTATTTTTCTTTGCTTTTTTTTTGGTACTGGGGATTGAACTCAGGACCTTGTGCTTGTGAGGCAGGTGGTGGAACCACTGAGCTAAATACCCGGCCCTATTTTTCTTTGCTTTTTGACACAGGGTCTCTCTATGCAGTTTGGGCTGGCCTTAAACCTACTATGTAGCCCAGTCTGGCCTGGAACTCACAGTGATCCTCCTGCCTCGGCCTCCTGAGTCCTGGGATGACAGGCTCAGGCTGTTCTTAGTTCTGTGAAGATGCTGGCTTTTTTTTTTTTTTTGCGGTACTAGGGATCAAACTCAGAACCTTGTACTTGCTAGGCAGGTATGGTGTCACTGAGCTACATCCTGGGCCCAGATGCTAGCTGTTCAAGGCACTGGGTCTCAAACTCAGCAACATGTTAGAATCACTTGGGGCTTTTTAAAAAGTGCCATGAAGCCAGGTGTGGGCATGCACGCTTATAATTCCAGCATTTGGGAGGCTGAGGCAGGAGGATCACCACCAAGAGTTCGAGGCCAGCCTGGGCTACATAAGACTTTGTCTTTAAAAAAAGCTATTCAAACATCCTTCAAAGCTGTCTGGACATCTGGACAGATACTGCATTTCTGGCAGCTGGAGGTGGCAGCGGCTGTCCCTGGCATCTAAGTAGGAGGTTCTCAACAGGGTTTGATTTATGGTAGGAGAGAGTGGGCTGAGCCTGCCCTCTCCTGCTCTGAATGTGGCAGGGGTCACTTCCAGCATCCAATGACCACAGGGCCAACAAGGCAGAAAGGCAAAGTCACGAATGTCACTGAAGGGCCGAGGATTTAGCTCAGTGGTTTCACCGCCTGCTGCGCAAGCGCAAGGACCAGAGTTCGATCCCAGGTACCAAAAAAAAAAAAATGTCACTGAAGGGTGGGAACTGGTCACTGAGAACAGAATGAAACAAATCACTGAAACCTTGGCGTGGACATCGAAGTGCTGCCTGGCCAAACGTGGCAGCTGCCTGGCTCCCCATTCAGTGTGTGGGAAAGACAAGCCCTGCTTCCGCCTGGCGAGAATACAGCAGTCTTTGAAAGCCACTCATGCCAGGGCCACCCGGGGCACTCCTGGGATCTGAGACCTGGCACACACCAGGTGGTGTTGGGCAATTCTTTGGTTTGGGTTTCCGTTGCTGTCCACCCGGAGCATGCTTCATTGTGCCTGGCTTCTAGACAGGGGCATGGCTGGAGGGGCTGGTGGCAAAGGCTGCAGGTAAAGAGTAGAAAGGGACCAGGTCCTTGTGAAGAACTGGGACTTGGGCTGAGCATGGTGGGGCACACTGTCATCCCAGCACATGGGAGGCTGAGGCAGGGAGACTGCTGTGAGCTTGAGGCCAGCTTGGGCTACATAATGAGTTCAAGGCTTGCCTGAACTAGTTCCCTGTCTCATAAAAAACCAAAAAACAAACAAAAAGAATTGGGACTGGAGCAGAAGCTGATGGGTTAGACATGGTATTTGATCGTGTTGCCAGTTGGCAGAAGGCAGAGCAGCTAGAGCGACGTGCAGGGGCCTGACGAGAAGGAGCTGAGGGAGGCCATGGCTCCCGTCTAGCAGGTGTGTGTGGCGCTTGGCAGTTTGCTGTTGGCGGGGGAGCGCAGGCCCAAGGTCCTCAGATATTTGTGTCATGGGACGTGGCCTCCTCTGTCCCCGGGGGCCTCTTGGTCCCTGACCCTGCATCTGGGGCCTCCACAGCGGTGGGCAGGGGGAGGCTGGGCCCTCTCAGGTTCCAGCCGGGGAAGGACGTCATCTTCCCAGGCCCCGCCCTCCCTGTTGTGAGACCCCCCAGGTGCAGCCCCGATGGGGTGATTGAAGGGGAGGAGGAGGCCAGCTCACAGAATTCAGGGGGCCCAGACTGTAGGGGCAGACACCAGATCGCCCAGGCTACAGCTGAGGAGTCTGCAGGTGTCCAAGGCCAGAGGGTGGAACAGTGCGTTCTGCCTGGCCACTGGGGAAGGCCTCACAGAGAAGGTAACAGTGGAGCTGGGCTTTGAGGGATGAATAGGAGTCTACTAGATAGAAAAGGGTAGGAGGAGAAGTGTTCCCGGCTAAGACAGGATCAAAGGAGGGCAGGGTGTGTTTTGGGAATGGTGAGGGCTCCATGCGGCTGCAGTCTGGTTACAGGTGAGTGGTTTGATGAGGCTGGGAAGGTGATCCATTACAGTCCTCTGCACACAGCTCTCTGCCTGGAGCTGGGACACGGCCAGCGCCTCATAACAACTGCTGAGTAGCTCCTGCAGGAGATGCTGGCCTTAGGCAGGGAAGGAAGGGGCCTGGGTGCAAGGCCACTGGGATTTCTAGAGAGATGAGGCCTGCTAGGAGTGGGAGCTCATTTGGAGGCTGCTAGGGATCTTGTCTTTTTTTTTTTTTTTTGTGGCACTGGGGATCGAACTGGGGACCTGGCCTTTGCGAGGCAGGCACCGGAACCACTGAGCTAAATCCCTGGCCCCAAGGCTCTTGTCTTAAAGCTACTGATTTTTACATCCTTTGCTCTTTTGCTTTGTACAATTCCTAGTTATTTGTTTGTTTCTTTATTTGAGACAGGGTCTTTCTCTGTAGTGCAGGCTGGTCTTGAGCTCACTATGGAGTCCAGCCTGGTCTCAAACTTGTAGTGATCCTCCTGCTTCAGCCTCCTCAGTGCTGAGATGACAGGTGTGTGCCACCACGCCCAGCTTTTTGTTTTCCCACAGTGAGCTATATTCCCTAGGACTTTATATTCTTTATTTTGAGATAGGGTTGCACTAAGTCACTAAGCTGGCCAGGCTGGGCTTGAACTTTCCATCCTCCTGCCTCAGCCTCCTGAGCCTCCTTTGGGATGACAGGTGTGCAGCACCAGGCCTGGGTAAGCTGCTTTTATTCTCAGGAGGGAACGCCCGATGTCCGTGTCGAGCGACCGGCAGATGAAGGGCTCCTGCGGCACCGGCCCTGGGTTCCCACGCAGGGAGCCTGGCACCCAGGCGTTGGCGAAAATAGCCTAAAATAGCCAAGCAGGCGAGGGGGGCAGTGAAGAGACCTCCGTCCTGCTGCCCTCTGCCCCGCCCGCCCCGCCTGAGTTCTCAGGAGGCTCAGGAAGGCCCCCAGCCCCGCCCCCGCCTTGTCCCCTCTCCCCAGCAAAAACACAAACAACTGTGGAGGAGGCGGGGAGCTTTGCCTTCCAGGTACTGTCTAGGGGCTGCCCTCGCCCCCCCACCCGGCAGGCAGTGACGATAGGAGCAGCCTTTCTACCCCAAGGGTCAGGGCAAGAACTTTCTTTCTTTTGTTTTTTGAGACAGGGTGTTGTTTGTAGCCCAGGCGGGCCTGGAACTTGCAGCGACCCTCCTGCCTCAGCCTTCCAAGACTGACAAGACCAAATTTCTTTCGGCTCCTTCTCTTTGCTACTGTCACCTCTGGGGAATGCATTTCTGGTTTATCCATCCTGCCTGCTGGGGTGTCTATCGCTAGCAAGCCCCCCACGCCGCTGTGTCCCCTCAGTGGGCTAAGCAGCTTTCAGAGGGCAGGGAGAGCCACTGAGGCTGACTCTGTTTAAACACACATGTAAAAGGCCGGGGATTTAGCTCAGTGGTGCCGTCGCCTGCCTTGAAAGCAGAAGGACCTAGTTCAATCCCCGGTACAAAAAACCCCCCCAAAACAAAAAACACACATTTCATAACAAATGTAAAAGTCATATCGCATGACACAAAATTTGAAATGAGAGCATGAAAAAGATCACCCGTCCCTCCATCCTAATATGAGGTCTGCTTTTTCTTTTGTGGAATTTCTAGAACTTAGGAGAGACTCTCCTTATGAGGTGGGATCAGTGAAATAAAGACAATCCTTAGCTTTATCTGTGTGCCAGGAATTGTTCCGTGTTTCACATTTGTTGACCCATTTAGTCCTCACAGCATGAAGTGGATATTATCAGGATTCCTCTATCTGTGTTAGAAAAGAGAGAGGTCATCGGAGCACTGAGAGGTTCGGGAATTTGCCTGGGAGTGGAACCTGGTGTTTGGATCTTACCAGTGCTCCTCTGGCTTTGCTTATAATTATGAACACAAATGAAAGCTTAGAAAAACCTATTCATTTATTTCCTTTTTACAGTACTGAACCCAGGGAGTGCTGAACTACATCCTCAGACTGTCTAAATTTCTTTTTTCAGCTTTTTAGACAGAGTCTCCCTAAGTTGTCCAGGGTGGCCTTGAACTTGCAATCCTGCTGCCTGAGCCTCCTGAGTAGCTGGGATGACAGGCATGCGCTGCCTCACTCTACTGAGAAAATCTTTTTATGAACAATTTCAGGCATAAAAAAGTAGAGAAAGTTATAGATGGAACCTCATGTCCACATCAACCAGCTTTAATAATTTCCCTCTTATGGCCTGTTTATTTATTTCCCCTCCCCTGTCCAGATTATTTTGGAGCCAATCACTCTGTCATTTTGTCCATAAATAGCTTAGTGTATCTCTATATATCTTGGAAGGGTCAGATGGACTGTTCATTTAAAAAATGACTCTATGGCAATACTATATCATGTCCTAAAATGTGTACATTGCTCTTTTTTCTTGTGGTACTGGGGATTGAACCCAGGGTTTTTGCTCTGAGCTACATCCCCAGCATTTTTTTTTTTTTTTTGAGACAGGGTCTCACCAAGTAGCTGAATTGCTCAGGCTGGGCTGTAACTTATTATTATTATTATTTTTAGTACCAGGGATCGAACTCGGGACCTTGTGCTTGCAAGGCAGGCACCGGAACCACTGAGCTAAATCCCCGGCCCTGGCCTGTACTTTTGATCTTCCTGCCTCAACTTCCCACAGTGCTGGGTTGACAGGTGTACACTACCATGCCCAGCTCATGTATACTTTCTTTTTTTTGGTACTGGGGATCGAACTCGGGACCTTGCACTTGCAGAGCAGGCAGCGGAGCCACTGAGCTAAATCCCCAGTCCCCTACCCTCATGTATACTTTCTTTTTTTTTTTTTTTTTTTGGTACTGGGGATTGAACTTGGCGCCTTGCACTTGTGAGCCAGGCTCCAGAGCCACTGAGCTAAATTTCCACTCCCTGCATATAACTTTCACATATCCTCCTGTATACTTTTTTTTTTTTTTTTTTGGTACCCGGGATTGAACTCAGGATCTTGGGCTTCTAAGGCAGGTGTGGTGCCACCAAGCTAAATCCCTGGCCCAGGCCCAATATTTTTGCAAGTTATTTTTTGTTTCCTTTGTATTTTG